TTGCCTGTAATGTATAAAAAAAAAAAAAAAAAAAAAAATTAGGAGCCCGCGCTTCAAATGGTTTTATAATTTTGAGCAACAAAACATGTATTGTAGGCAAAAGAAAGTAAATAAGTAAACGTCGCACATACAAATATTTTATTCCTCACAACATTGACAAAAAAGCAAATAAAAACTTGAAACAACATTGTGATTTCCAGAAGTCGAAAAGCCATTGTTTACACTTTCTTTTAAAAGCGTGTAATGGGTGACAAAGTTTAATTGGGGATGGTAGCAAGAACCAAAGAGAAACCTTCCCTTGAACGTAATACTGGTTAAAGAGTATCCTACGATTTGCTATCATATAATTTGTTCTGTTATTTCTGAAATAATTTTATGTAAAACCTGTAACCTTTATTGGTTGTTACCGATGACTGCTTCAGGTGTATTGAATAGTTCCTTTTTTACGGCTTGTTTTACTTGTTTATGCCAACTCATATATTATCCCCGCGCCTTTTTCATGTTGCTAGACGTATTACTTTACTACTTTGACGTATACCTATAAAACACCCTTGTGTTCCACATAGTTTCTCCTATAAATCAACAATACGTTATCTCGTTAATAGTCGTTTCACATTACAAGTATTCAACATGAGAAGGTATTCGGTTTTTTAAAATTCATTACTCGAACAGACGTATTGGTTGCTTTCTCGACTTTATCTCTTTACTAAAACGCTCATTACAACGCCACATACATTAGTGAACAAGGAAGCCAATTTGTTCGCCACAAACGTCTAGGATGGACAACATCGACGGTCATACCGACTTTTTACGTCAAAAATGTCGGATGACATTGCCAAATACCCTGCGGTTGTTTTTGGAGTAAGCACTTTTTTCCGGACTAGGGGCGTTTTGGGGGCTTCACCTACATCTTGGAGCCCAAGCTAACCTCACCTGCAAGTGGTGCGCCTGCTGATAGACGGACGAGGCTCTAGCGAGGGGTTTTCCCTTTCGGGGGTTGGGAGGTCAGACGGCAGTCGCTCCCGTAAAAACCAACACCGCCACATCAACTTATGGAAGTCAACAGAAGGATATGGCATAGGGATAGGGCGCCGCCGCAAAACGGCGCGCAGGAGCCTCGCCCGACTTCTGTGGCAAGTGGACTAGGGCTACCGTGTCAAGGGTGGGCACGGTTAAACAGGCGAGCCCCTACCCATCACAGGAAGCTCCGCTTTGCCACGTGGAACATTGGCACGCTGACTGGACGCGCGAGGGAGCTAGCAGACGTGCTTTCCAGGCGGAGGGTCGCCGTGGCGTTCCTGCAGGAGACTCGGTGGAAAGGCAGCAGATCCCGGCTCATTGGGAATGGCTACAAGCTGATCTACACCGGTGCTCCTGGGGGCGTGAACGGGGTGGCCGTGGTGCTCTCCGAGGAGTTTCACGATCACGTCCTGGAAGTGAAACGCTTTAGCGACCGGCTTATGGTAGTGAGGGTGCTTATCGAAGGGGTCGTGACCCACTTGATAAGCGCCTACGCACCTCAGGCTGGTTGCAGCGACACGGACAGGGCGAGGTTCTGGGATCAACTCGGGGAAGTGCTGAGTGCCATTCCTTTGTCGCAGGCAGTCGTCTTGGGTGGCGACCTGAACGGTCATGTGGGTGAGGCGTGCGAAGGGTTCGAGCGGGTCCACGGTGGCTACGGGTACAGCAGTCGCAACGCGGAGGGAGGAGACATCCTCACAACGTGTGTGGCGGCCGATCTCGCCATCGTGAACACGTTCTTTAAAAAGAACCCCGAGCATTTAATCACCTACAGGAGCGGCGGACACGCCACCCAAATCGATTTCCTACTCACCAGGAGACATCATATCAGCAAAGTGACCAACTGCAAGGTCATACCAGGTGAGAGTCTCACTGCGCAACACCGTCTTCTTGTCATGGATCTCTGCGTAAAGCCGGCCGACAAGCCCGCTAAGCGCTGCCGACGCCAAATCAAATGGTGGCGGCTTGATAGTACCACGACCCAGGAGTTCATCTCAGCGATCGGCGATAAATGCGCCGACACTGAAGGTGATCTAGTCCAGAACCACTGGGACAACATTCAGGCTGCCATATCTGAGGCGGCGAAAGCGGTGCTGGGCTTGTCCAAGGGTGGTCGCAAATGTGACAAAGAAACTTGGTGGTGGAACGACACAGTCCAGAGGGAGGTGAGGGTGAAGAAAGCCCTCTTCAAAACGTGGCAAGCGTCCGAATCTTCTGAAGACCGCGACGCATATAGGGATGCCAAACGTGCCGCTAAGAAAGCTGTAGCCAGAGCCAGACGGGACCACCTGCAGCCGTTGTATGACAAGTTGAAATCGTCTGAGGGGCAGAAGCTTATCTTTAAGCTGGCACGTTCGAGGGTCTTAGCGGCACAAGATATTTCCAAGTGTCGCTGCATTAAAGACCCTCATGGCAACCTTATATGCGAGGTCGACGCGGTGAAGGAGAGATGGCGCTCATATTTCCACGAGCTGCTGAATCAGCAGCACAGAGAGGTGCAGCCACCGGTCCTCCCTCCGAATCAGGGACTAGTGCGACCGGTAACGCCTGAGGAAGTCCACTTAGCTCTTCGTCGCATGAAGAATCGGAAAGCTGTCGGAGCCGATGGGGTTCCCATCGAGGCCTGGAAGGCAATGGGTCCCCGTGGTGTGGGCATCCTTACCGGCCTCTTTAATCGCGTGCTCCTCACCGGTAAAATCCCTAACCAATGGAGACTGAGTATTATCACTCCAGTCTTCAAAGGGAAGGGATCGGTGCAGGAGTGTGGCGATTATCGGGGCATAAAGGTCATGTCCCACACCATGAAGCTCTTCGAGCGTATAATAGACTCTCGGATCCGACAGGAGAGTGCTGTCTCGGAGGGTCAATATGGGTTTCGGCCTGGTCTTGGGACCATGGATCCTGTTTTTGCCCTAAGGGTCATCATGGAGAAATACAGATTGAAGAATACGCCTCGGCATTTCATGTTTCTTGACATGCTGAAGGCCTTCGACTGTATCCCCCGTGTAATGATCTGGTGGGCACTGAGATCCAAAGGGATACCAGAAGCTTATATTGACATCATCCGAGACATGTACCGCGATTCCGATTCCATGGTTAGGACTGCTGTTGGTGACACTAAACCCTTCCCTGTCACAGTCGGAGTTCACCAGGGCTCAGTTCTCAGTCCCTATCTGTTCAGCGTGATATTAGACGAGGTCTCAAGCTCTATCCGAGACACGCATGAGCAACCCCCGTGGATGCTTATGTACGCTGACGATATCGCGCTGGCGGATGCGGATAGAGGGAGACTGGTACAACGAGTGAATGTGTGGAAGGAGTCGCTTGAGAACGGCGGTCTGAGACTAAATGTGGCGAAGACTGATTACATGGTCTGCAATGCTACAGATCCCCTACCCGTACGCATAGGCGAAGACGCGGTCGAGCCTACGGGTCAGTTTAAATACTTGGGATCTGTACTTAGCGCGTCCGGAGACATCGACTGCGACGTCAGAGCCCGAATCGCAGCCGCTTGGGCAAAGTGGCCTGAGGTGACTGGTGTAATTTGTGACCCCAAGATGCCGTTAGGCTGAAAGGACAGGTCTATAAATCCATCATTAGACCTGTCCTTTTATATGGCAGTGAAACGTGGCCCGTACTTGAGCGTCATAAGCAGGAGCTGCGTGTCACGGAAATGAAGATGCTGCGTTGGATGTGTGGAGTTTCACGGAAAGACCGTGTCAGAAACTCCCGCATCCGCGGCAGCCTTCATGTCCGTGACATTGCAGATAAACTGCAAGAAAGCCGCCTACGTTGGTACGGCCACATCTTACGGAAACCGGCATGCTACGTGGGAAACAAATGTCTGGCTATGCCACCTCCGCCGGGCCCCGGTAGAAGGGGCAGACCCAAGAAGTGCTGGCTTGACGTCGCCAAGGGTTATATGCGTGCCTATGGTCTCACCACTAAGGATGCCGAAGACCGTGCAAAGTGGAGGAGAAAAAGTAGGAAAGCGGACCCCGGGCTCCGCAGCAACCCTGCTGAGGACGCAACCGCGACAACGCTCAGATGAGAAAGAGACTTTTTCCGGACTAATTACGAAACCTCGAGAAGCACGTTGTCTATTTTGCAATCTTCTATTAGTATGAAAACTATACTTGATTTACATTTTCTGTATAATTTGCATGTTGGTAAGAAAATTCTCGATTCGCACGATTGTTCCCACTTCGCAGATCTAAGCGTGATTTGGCTATCACTCGCGGGACACTAAAAAAAACCGGGCATAGGGTTCAACATCGTGACACCAAACTCTGGCAAAAATAATTATAGATTTTGTGAGCGACTTTTATCTCTCACCACAATTTTAGTGCTTTAATGCAATTGGCGGTCTTCATTAAGATTTCCTCTGAATAAAATACATTTTTCCCATTTCAGATCCCGAGGATGCAAAGGCGACGGCCGCGTCTAAAGTTGTCTATAGACTAAGTGATGTAATTTCAACATAAGAAAAACAACAAATGATCACAATGCCTGTGGTGTCACCGTCTCGCTACAACTCTGCTTCCAGCAGCCACTCCGGGTCGTACCGGTCCACACTAACCTCAACCTCAAGCCTGGACAAGCCGTATTACCGAACAACCGGTGGTACTTACGTGACCTCAACCTTCAGAACTTCACTCGGTGATCGTACTACAGAATACCGGTCGAGATTCTCGGACATAGATGGCAAAAAGGAACGCAATACTAGTCTTGTAGAGTATACGAGAACGTCCAGAGCACCGAGTGTGACCGACTCTGATAGCGGTATCTCTACGAGATATCGGTCAGAACGGTCAGAGTCACGGTCTCGGGATATATCAACGACCAGGAGTGAAAGCAGTAAGACTACTAGTGATCCCTTGCCGAGGAATAAGAGAAATGTTCTCAGTTCTGCGTCTCTTGCTATGTCGACGGCGGATTTGTATAATAAATACTCACCTGCTAATTACATACCACTGACACAGAGAATCCAGCAGCAGCAACAGCAAGCAAATCAGAACTCTTATGGGGAAATTTCAAGGTCGAAATCAATTTCCAATGACATCGGTAGACCCCCTGCGTCGGATTCTTCCAGATTAAGAAAAGCTAGAAACTCAACAGCGGCGACAATAATCGAGGTAATTTTTTTTTAAATAATTTTTTGTAAAATCTTTTTTTTTTGTTGGTAACGGGTGTTTGCGAAATTATTAATGTGTCATGAAATATCTATTAGAAACACCCCTTTATTTACTATTAATAACTCATTTCATTGACGAAGCAAAATGACTATAACGTGATATACATTCAGAAGTCGTTTTTATTTTCATATAATACACAATTCTACTTTACTGATATATCTTCTCTATAGGGTTGCCAGTACCAAAAATTTTTCTTGAAATATTTGGCAAGCACCCATACCGATTGTGGCGCGTGAGTGTGTGTGTATGTTCATTAACAACAGCACTAAGAAAGAGCCATCAGCTTGATTTAGTTTCACTTCTACCTGACAGGCAGACCCGGGTGACAATCATTCAGCCTCTTCCTCTCTAGGTTCGCCAAAATTCACATTTTTGTGCATTTTAAACGGAGTGTCGTCCATAAATTATAGAAAATCATTGCGTCCAGTTAGTAGCAACGATTTAAAGACTGAAAGCCTTTGCGCGTTTCTATTTTCAAATACAAGAATTCAGACATCATATTAAATCATTGTTTATGTCATTCGCTACAAAGTATTCAAGTTCTACATGCAAATTGTGCGTTGTCAACAACCGCCCGTTTGTATGTGGAGTCGTATTTCTTTTATATTTTTGAATAATGGAGATGCTTATAAATAAAATGCAAAAGACCATTAAACCCCATCACAAAAGTTTGCCTCTCACGTAGTCATAAAAATGTAGAAAGCATGTTGGACTAACACACACATCCATAGCGCAAATAATATACCATGAATGAAACGTAAAAAAAACAACAAAATGTTTTTCTGACAACACCCAGAGAACCGGAAGATGCAAGGAATCACCATCACCCCACAAAAGAACATCTATGACTAACGGAATAAAGGACAGTAATGGAAATGAGGTACCTTCGGTATCGGATTTGAGAAAACGCTTCGATCAAAAAATGACTGTAACGAAACTCCCTGCTAACGAACCTAAATATGGAACTAAAGCTGTCGAACATTATCTAAGTCAACTTAAAGAGTGCGAGAATGGTATAGGGTACACCAAAGTTGTTCAAGACGAGAAACCGGTCCCTATACATTTGCCTTTTGAAAGGAACGGTATCGCCAAATGGGACGGGAGTAGCAGTTCCAAATCAAACTCCAACTCTGATCTTTCTATTAGTAAGACCATCTCTGAACCCGTCTCTTTAGCTAAACCTTTAACGGACAAAAACAACACCATGTCAACGTCGTTGACCAGTAAGCTGCCGTCGGAACGTTTGGCAAGTATAAAAAGTCAACTAGACCCTAACAATCCTATAGGAAAAATTCTCGAAAAATCTACAGTTATACAGGTTGAAAACGGTGAAGTAACTAAGAACAGCAGTCCTGATATTTCTAAGAAAGAAACGTTGAGAAATGATATTGAGAAACAAGTCAAAACTCCGAAACATACGTCTAATTTTGCTTCTTACATTCAGATATCTCAACCAGTATCATCTAAGACCAACGGTGAAGAAAGAAATGATAAAACGGAGAGAGATAAGTCAGATAGAGATAGAAATGACAAGTTAGAAAGAAAGAAAGTTAATCTCAAATATATAGACACAGAAGATAGTTTAGTTCTTGATAATAATGATATAGAATCTCCTTGTGGTACAGGATTTGAGAATAAGACTTTTGAACATGAAAATTTCTTAAAGAAAAGATCAGAACACCGTGAAATAGAAGAGAACCAAGATGATGGAGCCAAAAGTATGGAGACCAGTACTGAAAGTACATTGAGCGAAGAAGACTCGAGTCCTGACACTCCTTCCTCTAGAAGAAAGGTCCTCGATGATAAGGAGATCGAAGATATCAAAGCGGTAAGTAACGCTATTGCCTTTTTGTGAAAAATTGAGGGCTAGTTCGATGTTTAATATTTAAGGTATTTATAATTTTTTAATATATTATGAGACACGATTATGTTTTCAGTGTCGATTTGGGATACAACGCCAAACTAGAAAATGTTTACGTTGATAATCATTGTTACTAAGTAAGAGTATCATACTTACTACACCATCGTACATCGAACAAGCCCCCAAAAAGGGCAGCTCACTTGTATTTAAGTAAAGTTGGCTCTACCACATTATGTTCGTGAAGTATTATAGTTTGCATTTTTGTGTGTGTCTTGGTTTATAATATAGGTATCGGAAATATTGTGATTGCATGATTTGTCGTAAGAATTTCGGTCGGCGTTTTTATATAGAGGTCCCTTGTCATCAACATATCTGGTTCATTGTTGCTTTTGTTGTACTGTCCTTTCCCATCGGTCTATCTTTCTGCAGGTTTCTTATCGTATCTGTTGCTAAGATTAGAAATGTCGTAGAATCTGTTTTGTTTTGGGAGAAGATTTCTCGTCTATATTTTTTACCTGTTATTGTTTTTAGTAATTTCTCTGTGTAGTCGTCAACAATGCATCTTTGGTTTATGCCTCAACGCTATGATTCGCGTTTAGTGGTCACTGAATTATGTACGGTTGTCTCGAATATTAATGCGATGGCTCCAAAGATGTAATGTTTTTTTTGCTTTACACTGGATTTCAAGACGTATTAGGGTTGATCTTTAATTTCTTGTTTTGGTGTTTGTATCTTTATATAATCAATTATACACAAAAATATTTAAGGACTTAGAGGTTTCTCAAAACCTTGGAAAATCCTTCTTTTTTGAAAAAGCATATTCTCAATTATGGAGGGATTTACATATTTTTGTTAAAGCCAATCGGTGCTATTCATTTTTATCGTTCGGTTTCTTGTCATTGACATTTTATTTAAACTATTTAAAAATAAATAAAACATATTGACAGTGTAAATATATAACCGACCACAATAAATAAACCATCGACCACAAGAAAATACATAGTCGTAGATATACTTCCAAACATAATTCTCGTCGAAAAATCTTTTTGACTCCCTAAACAAATATATCTTATGCAGAAAATTTGAAAAATGGCTTACTTTTTTGTAACCTCTATATTTTCGCGAATCGTCGCTAGCAATGCGCGCACGCTGCCGTAGGCGGGTTATAAAAAGACCGCCGGGTTCGTTGCCATTTCGCTATTGAGGTCGCTACGAAACGCACCACCTCAGTGCTGAACCTTTTATATATCATCTCCTTTTTACTTGCCTCTACCCCTAGTGCCAGAAATTATATAAGTAGAAGGACCGCAAGATTTTCAAGGTGATAGTGGAGAGGCAATTGCTAGGCAATCGTGCTTAATGCTCCGTCGTCGACTCATCACCACTTACCATCATGTAAGATTGTGGTCAAAGGCTTAAAATGAAACTTGTCGACTTAATGTGCATACATCCTGAAATTGGACGTCTAGAGAAATGGCGGAACTTCATATGATCCGAAAAGTTTATTGAGCTTTATTGGTTTTTAGGATATTCTTATTAATATTTGGACGTTTCGCACTAAAAATGACCTACAAATCGCCTCGAGGATAAATGCTGCAGTTGGGCAGTAGTGTCTCCAAGGCCAGCCCGCCTGGGACTCCATATTATTATAGTAGGTAGTAGGCCTTTTTAATTTATCTTTTGTGGAGTTCCTCGTACGACTTCTCATTCGCATATGAACGATACTACAGCATGATACTAATAGCACATAGTATTTAAAAGAATTATTTTTTTTATTTCATGCCTTATTAAATGTTTTTTAGTATCTTAAAAAGACAATACGTAACCGCGACCTGCTTTTAATATACGAATCTAAAAATATCACAGCAAAATGTTTCGTCTAGAAATAAAATTACTTTACGTTCGCCGGCAGCCGTCTACGTTTTTATTATAGAACATGTGCGCCCTCCCATTTTGCGAAAAAAATAATAAATTTTACGCGCGAAAATGATTTTTTAAAGTTATGTGACGTTGTACTTGTTTTAATAGTGGATGTGGAAGTTTAATAACATACAACCTAGTGACGTGTTTTATTAAATGTCTAACAAATGATGCGGAAGCATTATATTTTAACAGAAAATAAACTGCACATTTGTCCGAAAAGTGGAATCCCTATAGTTTCTTCCAATAACCAATGAAAATCAATCAAATCGATCGATTTGAGAATTTTTGTTCTGTTCCTTTTGATTGGTTATATGCTACACTGACATCGTTTAATACTTTTGTAGTTCTTCAAAATAATAAGTGTATAATTTCATTAACTTTCAACAGTAATAAATCTTAATAAAATCAATGTTTACGGTCGTAGAAAGTGTTATTTTAAAATCTGTTTAAAATTTTCAACAGGAAAGAGTTTGTATACCAATCAAATTGTCTATAGTGATTGAAGACAGAGTGTTTAACATGTAACTGGTCGATAACAAATGCCATTTTCCGCGTGTTTAAATTCGAAAATGTGTCAAAACAGTTTGTCAAGGATTTTCGATGTAATTTTTCAATATTAGTTTGTTATTTGTGATTTTTTCCGGTAAATATTTAAAAGTGTATGATTTTTTTTTAACATAGTGCTGGTTGTGACTTACCAATTTCTAGGTGTTTATAAATGTATGCTTTTTTGCACTCGCGTAAGAATTTTTCTTACATATAGAGGTCAGATGTTGTAATGGTTGAGTAACAATAATTTTAATCTGTTCTCGTCTGCGGTTTCGTTTACTTAATTTAAGCGAATAAACATAATTGTGTTTTAGTATGTGTCGTCGGCAATGATAGAGCTGAGTGCGCGATCCCCACAGCACGTTGCACTGCTGGCAGTTGGGAACCTGACGTGTATTTATTTATTTATATATATATATATATATATCAATATCCGTGGTGGGAATCGAAATTGAAACTTTGTGTTAAGTTGAAACAAGACAAGCTAATTTTCAACTGCGCTATCACTGTGATAAAATCGGAACGCATTTTCTGTGGCAACCGTTAATATCATAATAGAATATGATATGACGTCATATTATGTAAATACATCAACGCGAAGTGAATCTTTCGGAGTTGCTGTTGGATTATAAATTACACAAGTCGACTAATTGGATTTTGAATAATTTTAAATGCTTTCTGCCCCTTTTGTACGGGTGACGAAGAGGCTAGACTTTAGGGGCTTCTGCTTTTAAGTACACCTTCGGGTGTTTAAAATTCGCTCAATGACAATACACGTTAAATAATATGATGTAATTGTCACTTATATAAATAACTTAAAGCAAAGCTTTGGTTTTCAATTAAATAAAGGTTGTGTACTCCTTACTTTTCTTCTACCGGAAGATGACCGTGACAATTCGTATGTGCGCCTGTAAAAGTGCGTGGACACACGAATCAATTTTTCTTATTAATATTTTGTAACGAAAATGTTTACAAGTACCGGTATTTAGTGTGCTGTGTATTTGCATACACATCGTCACGTTATAACATCATCTTACCACTGCACTGGGCACTACAATCTTTTAGATTCAAGGCCCCAAAGGGACTATTAGTCTTCACGACTCGCAACGGATTGATACAATTTTCGTGATGATCGATCGAAACAAGGAATCGTCTGTACGGGGCGACTTTATGTCATATTGCGCCAGCCCAGTGCGGGTTGGGGAATGAACTCCCGACTACTCTAAAGGCTGTGAACCTTCTTCGGCATGCACGGTACGTCACAACAATTAGCTAAACGTATCATTACTACATTTTCACAATTGCATGGAATTTGAAAGTAAAAATCAGGCACATGTCGCAACAGGGATTGGAACCGTCGGCCTCTCAATTGTAAAGCGACCGTTCGGCCACTGGGCTCTCACCGCACCGAATTTGATTGTGCTGACAAAAATTGGCCTTATTCGCTGGGGATCTCCATGTCATTTTGAAGTCTGTGGCACATTCAAGAAACGGTATGAAAGAATCTGCCCTTGAATCTGCTATACTATGAAATCAACATTTCTATTAATAAAAAACTATAAGTACCGGTGCGTAGTGATAAGCCCACCTACATCTATATTACCTGTGTATTGATAGCCACCATTGCGAAATTTGGCAGTGATTTTTGGCTAAACACCATCTAGCGCCAGTAGTTCGCCCTCGGCGTACCGTCTCGGACGCCATTTTGAAAAAAAAAAGCGCGAAATGTTTAATTCTACGGGCATAACCTAGCATAACCTTACTTCACAGATTAAAACATTTTCTAGTCAAATAGCTTATATTTTTAGCGGTATAGAGACGATTCTCGTCTCAACAAAAGGGAATAAGGATAAATTTAATATAAATTTGAATATTCTTTATTTTCATCGGATAATTGTTGTTTATATGTAAGTTGAACTGGCTGAAGAAAGAGACCTCCTTATGTAGGGATATTTGTGTAATTTTGTAACTTTTCTAATCATATTTTGATATTATACAACATGAGTGACAACCAGCACTTCAGTTTTAATAATAGGACACGGATTTGAATTTTTCGGTGATAACAAAAACTTTGGTGAGGAAGAAAATTTTAGTGGTTTTGGAAAAAGGCATCGCCTTTGACAGTGATTTATTTTAAACTCTCATATTCTTGTGATAAACGTGTGACAAAAATTGTGATAACGAGTGAACTTATGACGAAACCGGATCAATGGGACGTGGCTTAGAACCCCTGCATGTGTTGTGGTGTCCTAGAGCCGATCCCAAATAGACAGGGGCGATAGTCCCGGACATGGAACAACCGTGACTGATATCCTGTTCTCTGTTTATCTGGTGACAATAACTGTTCTGAATAATCTTCTCCTACCGTCGTCCTGAAGTCTTCGAGACATACGCGTTCCGTCCTCTGCTCAATACGATTGTAATTAGTACAGGAAGTCCTTACAAAGATCATCCACCCGTCCAATTTTCCACTGCAAACCCAAAAATTGTCTTTC